CATATCTTTAGAACTAGTGGTCGTAGCTAAGTGCAACTTGCAAATTTGGAATCCTCGCTTAATTCCACATAAGAAAAACATTGATTGAAAGACAAGAGAAAATTATTTAGGAAATTTGAGCAAATTTTCCAGAGTTTTTAAAAATTGTCTCAACGAATGGGTAAATCAGCCCATATCTTCGGAACTAGTGGTCGTAGCTAAGTGCAACCTTCAAATTTGGAATCCTCGATCAATTTTGTATAAGAAAAATGCTACTTCAAATGTGAGAAAAATGTATTAATGGAATTTGAGAGGTTTTTCTAGATGTATGATTAGTTTATCGCTTGGGGTTGGGCGCTGGTGATCCGTGTTATAATTAGAGTGGTGATTGTGAGTTGAAAACTTACCGCTGAAAGTTTTGTGATAATTCCGCGTCCGTTGGAACGGAATTATTAAATTCTGGAATGACTTTCCGGTTGTGCGCGTATCGCATCGATTGTTATTCTTTTAATAAAAATAAAATAGAGAAGAATGGTGAAAATTAATAACGTTCTAATTAGTTCGAAATTGAAAATGAGTAATGTTTAATTTTAGGTTTGGCAATTAATAATGTCGCTGTGGATGAATATTCAGTTATAAAATGGTGGTGACAATGGCGTGTCCGAGGTCCGAACGTATATATATTTTTCTATCGGCTAGTTTTATTAGCGCCATTAAACAAACGAATTTGAAATTATAATTACTTGATAAATCATGTTTGTTTGTGTATTTTTCGTGTAATTTCCATAATATTTATTTGTACATTGCAAACACATCGTTCGCTAATATTCCGAAAATAATTTCATAAAATACGGTGGTACCTTTATTTATCCGGATCGAAAATATGCGATTCAATGAACAAACAAAATATCGCCGATTGCCAATAATTCTATTTATCCTGTCCACACCTATTCACGCAGATTTCAAATCGTAAAACTCTGGCGTCGGGACGTAACAATAGGACCGATGGACGACCAAAAAGCAATAAACCGAATTTTAATCACAACATACACCATTAGCACATTTACTACTAAATATACCTCTTGTTTGCAATATAAACATTCCTTTCATCAACTGACTAATAAATTGTCTCCGATGCTTTTCACATTTCAACATTATTCAACAAACGAGGGGAAACACACAAATCAAACATTGCCATCGAATCGCTCCTCCCCCAACCACACACAAGCCGCCACACAACTCACCAAACCTGAAACCTATCGAATTTGCAAATTTTTGAACCAAAAACGTGAATTTCATTTCATTTTCTTCAAGAATAAACGTGGCAA